AATGATGAAAGTATCTTAGGAATTTGTAATTACGGTGGAAGCAATGACCGTAGCCGCAAACAGCAACAACCGAGTTCTAATTCTCATAAAGAAGAGCAGACGATTTCAATTCTGCCATGTTTTTCTTCCTCGAATATTTAACGCCAACCACATCGAAATCAAGCGTTGCGAGCGAAAAACGCGCTGGAATGTTCCCTGACCCCTTTCGTTCTAATGCAAACGATTCTTCCCCTACAGGTGCAAAAACCGCTCCGTTTTCCTGCTTCAGAATTCTTTTTTTAATTTAATTTATGTCTCTCTTTAGCACTTCTTCTAGCGTTTACAAACAAACATCACTCGCGTCTAGACCGTCTGTAGGTGACTGAACTCGGCAAAATCAAAGCAATAAGAAAATAAACAAAATATGTATTTAGGTTTTTTCTTCAGAACCCTAATTCGAAATCTACATTTATGCTTCTGATCTTATAAGACCTTTATTATAATTGAGTCTTAAAAGATTTTCGTTATAAATCCATTTTAATATAATTAATTGAGAATTCTACATTTATGCTTGCGATGTTATGAGGCCTTAACTGTAATATAGTTTTAAAACAGAAGGTCGTTATAATTACATTTTAAAATTGATTAATGGGTGCTCAGTAACTTTAATTTAAAACTATATCTTTCCGTATTTTTAATACTTATCATACGCATACTACGCCAAAACAATTATATTAAAATTTGTGTAAACTTTTTTTCGGTACTTCCTGTTGCTCGCTACCAAGTTTGATGAGAACTTTTTAAACGATACCGTTAGAAAGTTTGGTGCTTATTGAATCATAATATATTTACTTCCTGCAGCTCGCTACCAAGTTTGATGAGAACTTTTTAAACTATACCGTTAGAAAGTTTGGTACTTATTGAATCATAATATCTTTAAAATTCACTGCCGATGCTAAGTTGCACTATTATCGCAATTTTTAAAGTTGATAACACTATACCGTGGCTCAGCTAGTACGAGCTTGCTAGGTTGCAGCAAATATTTATCTTTTTATGGTTCAAGCTACTAATAATTTTTTTATTGATAATAAACTATAATTAAAAATGTAATAGTTATTTAATGAACTTAGTAAATCTACAATAAATTTATCTCATCGATTTGACGCTAATTTAAAGCGAAGGCATATCAGCAAATAATACATAATAAAGCTGGTTGACATTTTTTATCAAGGTGACATAAAATATTTTTTGTACTCTAATAAATAAGACTAGATAGTGTTATTTATATATTGGTCTAAAGATTAAAAAGTTTTCACGCGAATACAAAGATATTTCATTTTTGCTTATGTAGATAACCTTTAACAGATTTTAAATATACTAGCAATTCAAATCTGAGTATTAAAAAAAATCCATATAACTTTTCTACAAAGAATATCTGCTTTTGTAATGCTTTGATTTTCCATGGTAGGAAATAAAATGTAACAGAACTTGTAAGAAAATTTTATATAGCAGTATCCTAAAAATAAAAAGTAAACTTTAATAGCACTTTAATATATATATATATTAATCCACATAACTTTTCCGAATCGAAATCTTCTTCAGTAAAGCCATGTTATAGTGGGGCAGCAATTAAAATATAGCACAGCTTGCAAACTTTTTGTAGCAGGATACAAAAAGTAAATATTAAGATTTTTTATTTTATTTTAATTAGTTTTCGAAATTTTACTGCTAAAAATCGATCCAAATAACTTGTCCGTAAAAAAAATTCGCTTTTGGAAATCTGCATTATGTTGTAGTAGCAACGAATAAATGACAGAGCTAGCAAACTATTTTGTAACTTTACACTAAAAACAAACAAAGATCTTTTATTTAATTTACTAGTGTCTCAAATTTTAACTCCTAAACATCAATCCAGATTACTTTTTCACGAAGAAATTCGCATTTATAAATGTTTCCTTCTTGTCAATCTTTTGTTGTAGTAGCAGCAAATAAAAAATGACAGAGCTTGCAAATTTTTTTTTTTTAATATTATACTAATAAATTTCAAGAAACACAAAGAAATTCGCTTTTTTAAAGCCATACTATTAGCAAATAATAAATGGCAGCAAATTAGCAATGGCTTAGCAGCAAATAATAAATAACACAACTTGCAAAATTTTTTGTAACTCGCTTTTCTGGAGCTATGTTATGCGAAACGACAGCATTTAGCTACAGTTTTATAATAAGTCTTATATATTTTTATATAAGTCTTATATAAGTCTTATTTATATAAGTCTTGCAAACTTTTTTTGCTGCAGTATCCTGAAATTAAACTATCATTCTGTAAATCGAACAAGCAATTCAAACTACTAAAATTCAAATTAGATAATTTTTTCCGCAAAAAAATTCACTTTATTGAATGTAAAGCTATGTTATGTTATGGTGCGGCTGCGAATATATAACAGAGCTTGCGAACTTTTTTGTTGTAGTACACTAAGAAACTGAACTTAAATACTATATTTTATTAAATAAACTAGCACTTCAAATTAAACTAATTAAAAATCAATCCAGATAACTTTTCCGCAACGAAATTCGTTTTTGTAAAGCAAGGACAGAGCAAATTAAAAATAATAATCCAACAAGAGAACGTCTAGGGAGTTTCAAACAGCAAATTTTTGGCTCGGTGCCAAAGTCTGAAATCAATGCTTTTGTCATTTAACAAATGGCGGTTTCGTTCTAACTGTGAAAACGGATCATACATGCAGTTCAATTCAGAGAAGCATCTTTATTTACTCATTCCTTTATTCTTCCCCGAAGTTGTGAGAGAAAAAAATATTTGAATAAATTCATTATGTGGGGGGTGGGGGTAGCAAAAGTAGAATAAAATTATTTTATTGAAATATTTTGAAAATAATTAAAGAGAAAACACTTTCCTTCTTTAACTCTGGAATAAATAATTGTAATTTTTGTATTTTTCTTTTGTGTCCATCCTTAACCAATTCTTATAGAAATCAAAACATTTATGAAAATAAATATTTTTCATTCTAAATTTTTTTAAAAAAAAAGTTTTTTTTCCTATAATTTTAAATAAAAAAAACATTATATTTTTCGTTTTTAATAAATAAAAAAAAAAAGTTTTATTCCTATTTTTTTTTCTTCTTCTTTTTAACTGTAAATAAAAAGCAAAGTTTCTTTAATTGTAAATAAATAAAAAAAGGCTTTTTATTATTGAAAAGTAAAAAGCGTTGTTTTTAAATTGTTAATAAGTAAAATAAAAAAATTTTCTCTTAAATTATTAGAAAACCACACTTTATTGTAAATAAATTATTGTAAATAACAATAAAGAATTTTTTTATTTGAAATTAAAAAAAGGGCTATTTTTCAATTTTTTTTTTAAAAAAAACTTTATTTTAATTGCAAATAAAAAAGCGTTATTTTTTATAATTAGAAAAGTTCGGGAAATAAATTTGCGTCATAAAAATAAAATTTCTAAACAATTATGTAACATTTATTATTGTTCCTGCAAATTAGTTGTTTGTGGGCTAAAGTTCAATCGTGCAATTAATTTGAATTTCTAACATCTCCCCATTTCTTTTTTTTTATTTAAGGTGTAAATTTTAAAAAAGCTAATATATTTTTAATAAAATAATTTTTAAGTTATGTTCAGAAAGAAATTTTTAAAGAGAAAAGATGTTAAAGTAATAATGAATACTGGAGGATTAATTAATTCAATATGCAAGCCTGATAACTAAAAATTACTCCTTTGGAAGTAAATCATAGGAGTTAATTTTTATGTCGAAATAATTTCCTTTCAAATTTTACCAATTAATAAAAGGAAACGAATGTAAAATACTAAATGATAAATATATTATGTTTACCTTAATTTAAAACAGTTTCTACGAAATTATAATAGTCAATCGTTAATAATTGAAGAAATTCTGGAAATACTGGACGGAAAATAATCTCAGGCGAAGAAATGAATAAAAAATAAAGTTCGCAAACTTTACTAGGTTAGGAAACGTTAAATTTTTTTCCAAGGAAACGTAGCAGAAATGTAATAAAAAAATGTAATTTGCTGCTAAAAATTATAACCATAATGAACCATTGTTAAAAAAATATTATTCTAATTATATTCCTTAAAATTTTGCTAAAAATGCTATAGTATGCAATAAATCAGTTGATGGAACAATCTTACCGAATTTTGATTTTATTTTTTATTACTTTTGCACGAGTACCGAATATTAACGATTACCCACACTTTCAATTAAATTTCTAAAATTCATCAAAAATCTAATTTTCGGTGAAACATATTAAAGACCGAAATTTAAATGAATTTTTTTCACCATAATTAAAACGGAGAAATAATTTTAAGGTAACTCAACATTTTTCTAGAAATTCCGTAAAAAAATTAAACAACATATTAAAAATAAAACTTTGGTATTTAATGTTTAGAAAACAATAAACCCTTTTTTTTTTAATATTTAACTGAATGTAACACAATATATTATCAACGTCGCCCAAATCCTACAGACCAATTTGTTTGTTTTGTAAAAGCATCCCACACAGCCAACGACCACGCATCAAAAACGAAACTAAGAGACTGAACTGAAACATCAGGTTCAGAAACCAAACACTACTCTGTTGAGTTTTCCCCAGTGTCAAAGCGCCTACGATTTGCGACACAGACTGGCGCTCACGCTTCGAATCTGATTGGTCTGGATTTCGGGGAAAATCATTGGCTATTCGCTCTTCATTGGTCCATTCCGTTAGTATGCAATGTTATGGGAAAAAGTCGGGCCGCTTTACTGAACTTTCTCTTTTGAATCCATCCGCGAGTTTTTAAAATATAGTTCTATTAATTTAGTATTTTTTTAAGTTTAAAATCTAAATTTATTCAAGAATAATAACAAAACATAAATTTCATTTCACATTATGAGATTTATTAAATTTTTGACTTTATTAAAAGTGTTTAATGGTTGATGAAAAGGATTTTGCAGCAACCTCTTAGCTCCGCCCCTCTGTCGCGGAAATATACGAATTGCGGGAAACTTTACTGTTCGATCAACGTTCACATTTAGCAAAACGTAGTAGGTCGTTGTTGTGGAAAGTCAGAACCTCGGTTATTTATATTTTGTGTTCGAGTTTGACTTTTCGCGCCATTCTACAGATAGTGTTTACTTTCTCACAGAGCCTTTGCGGATACTAGCGAGGAAATGCCTACTTTTAATATGTTTACATCGCCTTCTAATACTACCTCAGGTATAATAACTATGGATTACTTCGTTTTTTGGATTAATTTGTGTTGATAAATTTGAAGAACCACAAGGATTATAATTTTTTTAAAAACTAATGGAATGTTTTTATTTTACAGTACGAGAGAAAGACTCCTTTGAGAAAAATTACATTGTTGGTCCAATCCTTGGAAAAGGAGGATTCGGAACTGTTTATGCTGGAACCAGAGTTAGAGATAATATTCCAGTAAGTAGAATTTTTTTATTTCTATGATTAGAACAGAAAAAGAAATTAATTTTATGTCTAAAGTAATATTTAATTCGTCTACAAGTTTTTGTTAATTTTACCAACTTAATCATATCTGCAATAATTTTTCATATTTTAAAAATTATTATTTCTCCTTTATTTTAAGAACTTGTAACGTAAATTTAACTAAATAGTAATGTTCTTAAATTTTATTAAATTTAAATACATGTAAGAATATGTTTCATGTGTTATTTCAGTGAATTAAAACCGATCCTTGTTTTAAAAAATAAATTAATGTTAGATGCCCGACTTTTTTTCTTTCGATTTAAGTTTTATTAATAGTAATTGATTATTTACTTGTAAATTTGATCTTATGTGTTCCTAATATTGTGTTTACATTACAGGTTGCCATCAAACACGTTGCAAAGACCAAAGTCACAGATTGGGGTCAATTAAATGGTCATAGGATTCCATTAGAAATTTGCCTTTTACGTAAAGTGAATCACGTCAAGGGAGTTGTTAAATTATTGGATTACTTCGAACGCCCTGATTCATTTATCATTGTAATGGAAAGACCAGATGCCGTGAAAGATCTTTTTGATTACATCACAGAGAAAGGATTTCTTGAAGAAAAATTATCTCGTGTGTTTTTCCATCAAGTTGTTGAATCAATTATTGACTGTCATAAAGCTGGTGTGATTCATCGTGATATTAAGGATGAAAATATCCTTGTGGATTTAAAGAACTTGAACTTGAGATTAATAGACTTTGGGTCTGGTGCATATCTTCAGGATACCATGTACTCCGATTTTGATGGTGAGTTTCATTTAATTTATGCGATATTCTATACATCATATGTCAAAATAGTAAATTTGTTTAGTACTTAAAATATTTATTTATAATGCAACTACTCTTTGGTTTAAAATTATTATTTTATTATGTCTTGTAGTTTTAGAATTTGGTTGTTGATTTATAAGATATCGTCTGATAATAATTCTTTTTAAATGTAGGTAGAAAATTTAAATTAATATTTGATTGAATTGTTTTAAAAATATTTAAGTTGATTGTTTTGCAGAGTATATATAAAAAGAAGGGGGGAAATAAAATTAAAAGAACTAGATGTCTGGCGCCATTTGGTTATATTTTTAGAACCATCCTAAATTCTGGAGGATACATTTTCACTTCCTGTTCTCGCAGGATTTTATTGTTATTTATTCGGTTTTTATAAATTAATAATTTTTTATATTTATCTGTGATCTTAAGAAATATTGCGGATATTTATTTTGAAATTAGTAAATGTGTTCGAAGATTTGATTTTACTATTTTCCCTCACTCTTAATTGTGCGCAAGCGCAGAAAGTATAAAATGTCTAGTTGTTAGCAGCAGACGCGAAATCTTTTGGCATGGTGCCAATTCTAAGCGTCTGGCGCGAAAAGTCATCGATCGGTGGATGGCGGGAGATATTTTCACTACGGCTACGCAGGAAAGGACCCCACACTCCCCCGCTGTATGATAGTCATTTTCTGTGGGGGTACATCGACCCCCGACTTGTCCTAGCCAACCAGTCTGCGATAGTTAAGAGTCGCGGTTTTTTAAATTCATATTTAATAGCTTGAATTTATTGTTAGTTTCTGCTACAACTTGAACTATAAAAAGTAGTTTTTGTTTTACTTATAAAATTTGATATTTATTATTAATACAAAAACGTCTATAGTTTTATTCCTTGTAGTTCTTCACAAGATTTTGCCATTGGTAGTCTTAAAAGATAATTAAATTAATAATAAACATTTAATCTCACTTTTTTTTAAAAAAAAAATTTTGTAAATATATCAAAGTTAAAGATAACGAACATTAAACGGGATATTTCTGAAATATATATTGCATGCGTATTGCTGATTTCTTTAGGAGTTATTAGTCTGGCCATTCAACCCTTTTTTTTTTTTGTTTGTTTGATTAAAAGAAAACCGCATTCCAAACAAGGTAATGCAGTTCTTTTTCGTATGGTCACATTCTTTCAAAACAGGATTTTCTCTTGTTGCGCACTTCAAGCAACTGGGTCACAGACTGGAAGGAATGCAATAGTTCGCCTCCAGTATGATTTCGATCGTTTTTTTTTTTACCTTCCATATTTTGAACTTTATAAACAAGTTCTTGTAAATTCTTCTATTAAGTTATTCGCGTGTTAGTTCGTATTTATAAAAATATTATTAAAATTTATTGATGTTTAACACAAATACACGTTTATTATTATTCGCATTTTATTTATTTACAAATTTTTTTTGAAAATTATTAAGTACGTAATGGTTAATTGTGAAAAAAATAAACAAACAATGCCCATATGTTTTTAATATCTATGCTTTACTTAATTCACTACTAGTAAAAGTTACTATTTTAAATCCTTTATTATTAAGTTTAAATCAATTTTATTATGGCAATATTATTTCCATTTTTAATTTATCATTCATATTTACTTACTAAAGGTAAATCGTAAACATAGCTTGTTTTGATTCAAAGAAATTGTTTTGATGTTTATAGTAGAGTCAAGGAAATTAGTGTTGATATTTATAGAGTAGGAAGTTATTTGTAATGTTGTTTATAGAGTTGAGGAAGTTGTGTAATTGAGAATTTCTCAAGCATTAATTTAAAATTTCTCTCTGTAACTTCAACAAATATTTCTGCTCTGATTATTAAGTGTAACAATCTTTTACTCATTCGTTTATGTTAAAACTTTATATTTACAACCATTTTAGAATATATTTAATATGAAAGTATTTTTAAATATTGATAAAATTTCATTTATATATCATGGTTTAATAATAAATTAATTAATTTACCTTTTATTACTAAATGGTAATTTAGTAATAAATAAGTAGTTGCATTTGAATTACCATTGTAAGTGTGTCTTAATGCCAAGTTATACTAAATTTGTTTTTTCCTGTTAATTATTAGGTACACGAGTATACAGTCCGCCTGAGTGGATAAGAAACAGTTGTTACAATGGTTATGCCTTAACTGTATGGTCCTTGGGTATTCTCCTGTATGATATGGTGTGTGGTGACATTCCTTTTGAAAAAGATGAACAAATCTTGAAAGCAGACATCAGGTTCAAGAAATTCCTTTCAATGGGTAATTATCTTTCATTGTTTATTTTTATGGATTATCTTTTATTTTTATGAGATAGTTTAAAGTTTTAACATTGTTATAAGTTGCTATTAAAGTATTATAATAGTCTTAATAGCTGAGAGAGTAATGTAATAAGAAAAACTTATTCAGAGTTATGACTGAATTTTTTTTCCCCCAGTTAATTTTCTGAAATTAATGCTTATTTTTTGGTCTAAAGCTCTTCTATAATTTTGCAAATTTTTTATAAGATGTTGTGCAAATATTGTACATTAAAATTTGTTACTAATAGAAATTATACATTAATATTACACTTTACAATAGTTGACAATAGTGATACTACAAAATTGACATTTTAAAGGTAGTTAAAACAGTGTATGCACTGTATTCTTAATAATAATATAAAGATTGATTGTTTTATTTATAGTCAACACTGCTTTTTACTTCTTTCATTGTAACAATGATATTTACTTCATATAATAATGATAGTTAGGCATTGAGATTAATAATGATCAGAGGTATAAATCTTAAAAGTTGTGTTATGCACTTTTCAGTTTATTTAGAGCAGCTCATTATCAAATAAAATTATATTAGATATAGTTTTAATAAAAGTGTATAAAAACATGTAGCTTATTTTTTAGTTGTACTTATAATTTCATTTCTTTCTTTACAGAATGCAGAGACCTTATCAAAAAATGTCTATCAGTCAAAGCTTCAGACAGACCCACCTTAGAGGAAATCCTAGAACATCCGTGGATGACCATGCCTCTCGAAAACCTCCCATCTCCCAGCATTCCTGTCCGACACAGTACTCGTATCGAGGACTATCTCGAATTGAACTCTTCCTCAACGAGTAGTGACGGAAGTCTTTGACTCGAATATCTGTCTTAATTTATTTGTTGTAACATAGGCATAATTCATTGGTTCCTAACTGGCTTCAGGCCCGGTGCACTTACAGGCCGCTGAGAAAGATAGCGAAAGAATAGTTTGGAATGAAAGAATTTAACGAGGCAATATTTCTCCTTGGGTCCCACTCACTCATCTATTTATTGTTATTTATTTATTTATTATCATTGTTTAAATGATAAAGCTAGGTACTGTTATTTTCAACCAAATGCATCGTGAGCTTTCACCTCTATGTATTCGTAGCTATATTTAGATAGGCTCTTCTCGTAAGATGTAGAATTAGTGGAAGGGCTTGAAAGTGCCTTTATGATTGTTGTCATTTTTCAAAATTCTAAAATGATCTTATTTAAATTATTTGGTAGTCTATTTCTGACATTAATTATTGACCAGTGCCTATCTCAGTTTAGTAGTACCGTCTTAGAGATAATGCCTTCAAAGAGTTTTGAACATTGCATTTGGTTAGAGATAATGCCTTCGAAGAAATTTTGAATTAATGTGCATTTGGTTGAAATGACCATTTTGAGTACCTATTAATTTATTTGCAAGAGAGAATATTTGTAGGGCCTATTCCCTAGTGTATTTTATACATGCTCAATTGCTTGATTTGTCGATATTTATCGAAAGTTCCTCGAAGGCCATGACGCCTCTTGGAGCTGATATTTGTAGAAGTTCCTTTTAATATGTCTGTCAATTATTTATTGTAAAAACAGCCTTTCATTGTAAATAATTGGAAGTAGAAAAATACATTCCAGCATCTTGTGTTCATATCAATCTTCCAATTGTTTCAATGTTATTTAAAATTAATACAATGCTCTCTTCTTCAATATTTGTTGAATAATATCTTCAATTTTTTTTTATCGAATAACTCTTCAGTTTATTAATTAACTTGTAATTAAAATATTCTATTAGATTTTTATTTTATTAAAACTTAAAAATAAAGATCTTTTATAGTTTAATAGCCATAATTTACTTGAGTTCTAAAAGTCTATATAATTTCTGTCTATATAATTTTAATTTTTTAGTCATATTTGACACATTTAAACAATTGGAAGATTAAAACATATCATCTTCCAATTGTTTCAGTGTCATTTAAAATTATTACAATGCTCTTTTTATTTTATTAAAACTTGACAAAAAAAATTTGGTCTATTAGAATTAAATAGACAAAGTTCGAAATTTTCTTGACTTCTAAGAGTTGTTAACTTATATTTATTTAAATAATTTTACCACTTTAATTTTTGAGTCATATTTGACACTTATTATATAGAGCATTGTAACATTGTAAAATTATCTAAATTTTTAAATCAAGTTTGGCAGTCCTTTTCAAAGCATTGTAAAAAAAATTTAAAATCTCACTTGAATTCTAACTTCTCTAAATTTAACATAGAGATTCATAAGGAGTTCTTAATTTTAATAGTTAAGTCAGCTACTAGTTTGAGTTTAAGAGATATTTAATTTATCAAGACTAGCTTTTATATGAGCCAAATGTATATAGGATATCATGAAAAAGAAATTTTCAATCATCAACTTGTCCAAATCTCATAATTTATTGAATGACTAAGCCCGGTGCTTAAAGTATGTAGCATAGTGGGTACCCTGGAGATTTAATGATTTGCCTGTCTACCATCACTGCCCTTCGTAAAGTCCTAATTTTAGTGGACTTTTTTATAGAACTTGAGTGTATATCTTGTTCACTTATTTATTAATTGTATATATGTATATAGGCTGACCGAGCTGCAAAGTTCCTCCAAAAAATCTGTATATCTGCAAATTTTAATTTATTTCGCTGCGAAGATCCAACTTGGCTACCCAATACATTGTAAGCAGCTCGCAGGCCAATGAAGCATTTATGGCTTTCTGGATGAAAGGCATCAGTGCTTCACGTATTTATGTGCCTTTTTTTTGACATGTGTTGCTGTGTAGCACTAACTTGTACATATGTAAATATTATAAATATATATATATATCTATTATTATTGATAAACAGAGGTATTTTTCTATACAGGGAAATTCCAAAATAAACTAGATGTCAACATATATATTTGTCTTTATTTGTGTAATCTTCATAAATCAATTTGAAGTATATGTGGCTTTTAAAAAAAGGACCAATTTATTGCAATTTGGATATTTAAATTGAAATTTCAGGCAGAAACTGGTATTTTCTAGAAGCCACATGTATGTTAAAAGATTCAATTTACATAAAATATATTATAATATACATTATTTGTGGCTTTTTTTTTAAAAATAAAGCCACATATGTTAAAAAATACAATACACAAAAAAATAGATTACAAATAATATAATATACATATTTATGGCTTATAAAAGAACCTGGTATTTCATAAAAGCCATGTGTATGTTTAAAAATACAATTCACAAGAAAAAAAAGAATGAAGCAATATGTTTAAAAATAAAATTCTATGAAGCCAAGTAGAACTAAGGCAGTGGGGAAAATTTTTTAGGTATATTATAAATAATATACGTTATTTGTGGCTTTTTAAAAAAAGCCACACATATGTTAAAAAATAGATTACAAGTAATACAACAATCTACATATTTATGGCTTTTAAAGGAATCTGATGTACTTCGAATGCCATGTATGTGGAAAAGAACAATTCACAAGAAGAAAAATCATTGAGTTCTTTATACAATCACCAAAATAGGTATGAAACCATGTAAGACTTAAAACAATAGGAATAGTTTTTGTTTAGTGTAATAAACATGTAGAAAAGTAAACGGACAAATGTTTTATAAAATAGAAACTGGTATATGGCGATGAAGGAATCACTATTTAATCTGAAATTATATTATAAGGATATATCTAGATTTTTTAAATGATATAGATTCAGCATTGAATGAATTACGACATATGTCTGAAATTAAGATATTAATATTTTAAAATAATAATTATTGATGAAATTAAATGGTTCAGAATAATGATATTATAAGAATTTTTTAATGATTTTAACTCGTTAATATTCGGTCTTTTCACATCCATGAAGTAAAGAGTAGAACCGGATGACATGAAGCAATGAGTAAATTATTCAATAACTTAAAAATATATTTCGTTATTATTTTTCGAGAAAAGCGATAATAAATTTCGCCTCTATTTAGCATTTTATGTTTTTTTTTATTTATATTTAACTGGATCTAGCGGGAGGAAATAATTGCAACTAAAAACTACATCAATGCAATATCCCTAATTTAAGGAAGGCATTTTTTTAATACTGTATTTCAAGTCGTTTGACTACTATGAAAAGGATGGCTCTGTTTAAAACCCGATTATAAAAACTTATGCATCTAAAAAAAATTTATTAATTAATAATTAATTTACATTCGTAATTTAATTACCTTGTAAATAACATTTCTTCTTCAAAAAAAATTATAACTATGATTTTAAAAACCAATTAAACCGTAAGTGATCAAATGTCTCATTATTAACTGACCCTCCCCATCTCATAGCTGCCAACTCTACTGGATTTGGACAGTTTCTGCTGGTTTAATTAACATTCTCCTGGTAATTCCCTATAATTGAGTAAATTTCCTTAAAAGATCCCTGTTGAAGTAGAATTTTAGTGCAAATCATTGCTTGCTTGAATAAGTGTCACTAACACGTAAAGAAGCGAGCCTCATTTATAAAATTCAGATAACTATGATGAATAAAATGCTATTCAAAATTGTCCCGCAGGATCGCAAAGACACAGTTCCCAGTTGAACACCGAAGTAAAGAGTCACTGGCTGCTGTCAGTAAGCGGATGGGTGACCACTTTGGTGATCCTGAGTAGGGACCGAGGGTGCGCGGTATTGGTCACCTGTTCTACCGTACAGTGCTCGACTTTGCGCGCAGGTCGCCCGGCTATCAAAGCAGGGGAGTCACTCCCTCTGCAGAGGATCAAAATTGTGATGGCATGTCTTCGGATCCTCTTCAGGGATGTTTCCCAGACCATCACCAATAGCTAATCTACAGCTCTAATGCGACGTAAATAAAGTACCTACTTCAATAAAAATCCCAGTGGTTCGAATCCGAGCAATAGCTGGTCGATACGAATTCCATAATATTCTCAGTGGAAGACGGATCATGGGTTAGAGTCTCCTTGCTGTCAGGCTAATCATGGGAGATTTTCGTGGTTTACTTTCCCATGTAAAGCAAATGCGGGTTGATTCCGCCCATTGTGCAGATCTAGTGCGACGTAAATAATGTACCTACCTACCAATTCAATTCTAATCGACCCGTAAAGCTCGACCCTATTCAATTCTAATCGACTCTCAATGTTCAACTCTTTAGCTTCGTAATTTTGAACCTAACCCAGAAGGCAAGAGAACACCTGGATCAAGCATTGCGACAAACTAACTTTCGTGGGGGAGTTTCTAATGGAACTAAACCGTATTTGAGATACATGGAGGAAAACCTCCCACGGTTAGTTTGATTGCCAGGGAATTCTAGCCCATGATTCCAACTACAATTGATGATATTTTACATCACCACTGTGGTCGGAGCGAGCTGGAATCAGAATTCGTATCAACCAGACACAGTTAGTACTCGAATCTATGTCCCCTCATTAATTGATAACTGAAAATTCAAAATAATTGTTCCATTTTATATTTCATAAACGGCGGTGAACAATCAACACAATTTTGAGTTCAGGACTATCAATATTCAACTCCATAGTCTTGTAATTTTAAACCCAACCCACAAAACCAAGGAGCTCCTGAATCAAGCATTGGGACAAACTAGCCTTCGTGGAGAATTTCTTGGCGGAACAGACCAGCATTCGCGTCCTTCCATGGTTAACCCGACGGCAAAGTGATTCTAACCCATGATCCGCCTGTCACTGAGGATATTTTACATCAACACAGTGGTCCTATTTGAGGTCAAAAAGTTTTAACTCACAGCAAATAATTCATTAAACGCAAACGATATTATGTATATATTAAAGCTATTAATTAATAAATCTGACAACAATTGATAAAAAAAGTAAAGAATTGTTTTCTGGATTTAGTGCGAGAAACTTTCGCTTCGTTGCTCAAGGAAACTTTCATTTTAAAGAAGTAAGCTACGATTATCAAAAACACATCATTAACCATCAAGCGAAGTTTGATTCTCGTGGACCAACATTCCATGATGATCTGTGATGGTCAATGATGATTCCAACTATACATTTCCATGATGGTTTAATGGAAAAAATCAAATTGCATTGATGGAATATACCGTCATAACAATTTGTTTTTTTTTCTTATGTTGGCCCATCATAGATCAGTTCGAATTCCTATATTGCGATGATGGTTGTTCATGATTGTTCCAACATTTGATTCGTAAAAAGCTATGATAGAAATTTCTGATGGTTCAACATGAATAAACCATGACAACAAGTTGTTATTCTTATGTTGGACCATCATAAGTCAGTCCGAATTCCTATATTGCGATGATGGTTGTTCATGATTGTTCCAACATTTGACTTGTAAAAAACTATGATAGAAATTTCTGATGGTTCAACATGAATAAACCATGACAACAAGTTGTTATTCTTATGTTGGACCATCGTAAGTCAGTCCGAATTCTTACATTGGGGTGATGGTTACGTATGTTGCTTACCATCAAATATATAATGGATCGTGATGGAATTATTGATGGTTACCATCAATATTATGTTGGTTCATCAATGGAAAACCATAAAACATTTTGACTTTGGTATGATATAATTAAACTTTAAGAGTAGGGTAAATTATCTAAAAAATCTTATTTTTTACTGCATTTTAGTTCAAGGTACACCGACCGGCCTGTGTAGGGAACAGGGAACTGTCCTTGCATCAGAAAGGTTCTGGGTTCGAATCCGGGGCAAGGCATGGGTGTTCTTTACTTCTCTCTACTATCTGTCGTCACTGTGGGAGAGTTGTTCGCCCACATAATATAGTGTCCCTGAAAGAGAGGTCAGCAAAATCGCCCTCTAAATACCTGATTTTTAACATAGGCGGGCATTGGAAAAAAAAAATTTAAGGTACAGATATTATTTTCGACGTTAACCCTTTGAAGCAGAATTTTCATTAAACATATTTTTCATAACTTTTTTCAATATTTTATATTAAATTTAGGTCAAAGTAAGTGAAAATAATTATATTCAGCATTTTAATAATTGATTGTTATGAAATACAGCAGGGCTGTCCAACTGCAAAGAGCCTATGGGCCAGAATTCCGGTCACTGATCACCTGGCGGGCCGCAGTTTGAAAAAGTTGAACAATAACCTCTTACCTCTAATACAATAACAATTATAGTTGAATTATTAATTATAAAACAATGGAACAGAAGGATTATAAAACAATTTGCTTACATTTTAATGGGAAAACTGAGGCCAATCAGCCTGAATAAGAAGTTGGTGGGCTGCACGATATGTGTTGGAGGGCCGCATGCCGCCCGCGGGCCTCCAGTTGGACAGCCCTGAAATACAGCATAAAACACTGTGTCTTTTTCTGGGTTAAAGATAGAATCTTCCAAATACGGCTCACTTGCAAACAATAATTTTTCAAATTTGCACTTACTTATGTCTAAGAGAAACTGTTATTCATTACTGAAATTTCTTTAATTTACAAAATCAATTATTCATACATTTTTTTGAATCTGAATTAAAAGAATAAAAACTTAAAATACTTTTTTTTTAATTTCATATTTTAGAACAAATATAGCTTTGAAAATCTAACAGATTGTTTTAGTAACTATTTGACAGTTTCTTATAGTTAAGAAAATACCAAAATATGTTTTTATTAGCAATTAGATCACCAGAAAAAAAATATTTATAACAGTGACACCGGTGTCCCATCTGTCAGGGCTACCTATCTGTACTAAAGGATTAAAAACAGAAATTTATAATTTATTGTAAGAAAATCAGTACGGGGATCGATCAACTGAAGTTGATTCCAACATGGTTAATTTAACATCTTATTAAGCTTGCTGTAATTTTGTACAGCGTTTTTGTTCAAGGTACAGATATTATGGTTCGGCTTTAAAAACAGGAAGTTGAAATTGTTATCTTGAAAATCCTAG